GTTTGGCAGCATATTAAAAAAAATTATACACCATGAACAAGGGGGGTTTATTCCTGGTATGCAAGAATGGTTCAACATATAAAAATCAACCTATGTAATACAATAGATTAACAGAATGAAGAAAAAAACACATGATCATTTCAACTGATGCAGAAAAATCATTAAACAAAATTCAATGCCTGTTATATGTAAATTTTCAGTGCTGCAAAGTAAGGTCAGCACTGGGACAAAGGATCTCTCAGCAAGGCAGTCTTTACTTCCTGCAAAAGGGGTACCCTTGCCAGCAGTCTTGCCATGAGAGTACAACAAACAAAGGAAAAGTAGACATATTTATCCTTTACACATTTGGGGTCATCCTTACTGCTGTGTCTGATCTCCATTGGTTGGAGACAGACCTCACGATCTAAAACTGAACCTGATTGGCTAATAAGTTAAAACTTTCTTGACTAGGTAAAGGCAGTGGAGAACAAAAGGAAAAGAGGAAGTCCAAATAAGGAAGGGACAGGAAGTTGCTTGTGAAAGGACTTAGAAAAGTAATAGCACAAATATCTCGATTAAAGTATAAGGACACAGAATGTACTATGTGTCGTGAGTATGCCTAGCACAAATATCTTAAAGTACAAGGACACAGAATGCACTATGTGCCTGTGAGCATGTCTAACAGCTACATAGGATAGGGTTTAAAAAAATGTTATTAGCAAAAAGCAAGACTGCTTTGAAGAACACATAGATAATCAGGCACAGCAGCTCACACCTGTAATTCCAACACTTTGGGAGGCCGAGGCAGGTGGATCACCTGAGATCAGGAGTTTGAAACCAGCCTGGACAACACAGTGAAACCCCATCTCTACTAAAATTACAAAAATTAGCCAGGTGTGATGGCATGTGCCTGTAGTCCCAGCAACTCAGGAGGCTGAGCCAAGAGAATTGCTTGAACACAGGAAGCAGAGGTTGCAGTGAGCCAATATTGTGCCACTGCGCTCTAGCGTAGGCAACAGAGCAAGACTCCATCTCAATAAAAGAAAAGAAAAACACATCACTAACATTATATTCAATGGTGAAAAACGGAAAGTTTTTCCTCTAAAATTAGGAATAAGGTAAGGATGCCCACTCTTACCACTTCTATTCAATATAGTACTAGAAATTCTAGCCATAGCAGTTAGAAAAGGAAAATAAATAAAAGACATCCAAGCTGGAAAAGAAGAAAATTAGCTCTCTTTGCAGATGACATAATGTTATACACAGAAAACTATGAAGAGCTCACAAAAAACTGTTAGAACTAGTTAAGAAATGCTGCAAAATAGCAGGATACAAAATCAACACCAAAAAAAAAAAAAATCAGTTGTGTTTCCATATGCTAACAATGAATAATCTAAAAAGGAATGTAAGAAAATAATTCCATTTACAAGAATATCCAAAAAAATAAATTCAGGAATTCATACTTAGGAACAAACTTAACCAAAGAGATGAAAGACTTAAACACTGAAAACTACAAAATGTTGCTGAAATAAATCAGAGAAGAGACAAGCAAATTGAAAGAAGTCCTATATTCATGGATTGGGAGATTTAATATAGTTGAGATGTCAGTACTACCCAAAGCTGTCTGCAGACTTAATGCAATCCCAATCAAAATTTTAATGGCATTTTTGTTGTAAAACAGGAAAATCTATCCTAGAATTCATATGGAATTTCAAATTATCCCAAACAGCCAAAACAATTTTAAAAGAGAGCAGATGGAGGACACAAACTTCCTGATTTTAAAATTTACTGTGAAGCCACAGTAATCAAAACTGTATGGTACTGGCATAAAGACAGACAGTCACATGGGCCAGTGGAATAGAATAGAATCCAGAAATAAACCTTCACATATTTTGTCCATGATTTTTGACAAAGCTGACAAGATCATTGAATGGGGACAATCTTTTCAACAGTAATCCTGAGAAAACTGCATATTTCATGTAAAATAAAAAAACTTGGATGCTTTCCTAATAACATATATAAAAATTAACTCTAAATGAATCAAAGATCTAAATGTAAGAAGTAAAACTGGGTTGGGCGCAGTGGCTCACACCTGTAATCCCAACACTTTGGAAGGCGAAGGTGGGCGAATTACTTGAGCTCAGGAGTTGGAGACCAGCCTGAGCAGCAGAGTGAAACCTCATCTCTACTAAAAATACAAAAGTGAGCTTGGCCTGTTGGCATGCACCTGTAGTCCCAGCTATTCAGTAGGCTAAGACAGGAGAATCAGTTGAACCTGGGAGGCAGAGGTTGCAGTGAGTCAAGATTGCACCAGTGCACTCCAGCCTCCATCAAAAAAAAAAAAAAAAAAACCACACAAAGAAATAAAACTATGAAACTCTTAAAAGAGAATATTGGGATTGGGGAAAAGCTTCATAATATTGAATTGGGCAGTGACTTTTTGGATATGACACCAAGACACAGGCAACAAAACATAAAAAGACAAATTGGACTTCATCAAAATGAAAAACGTTTGTGCCTCAAAGGACACTATCAACAAACCTACTGAATGGGAGAAAATATTTACAAATCACATAGCTAATGAAGGATTGATATCCAGAATATCCAATGAAGTCCTAAAACTCAAAAACAAATCCCAAACAAGTCAATTCAAAAATGGGTAAAAGAGGACTCTCAGGGCTAGCCGCCTCAGGCCCCTGCAGAGGTCCCAGCAGCAGCCATGCTCGAAGTATTAGCTTCAGTTCTGTGGGGCTTCTCCTCTGATCTTCTGGGTCTTGGAATGCCACAGCTTCTCTTTTGTTCCTTAAATCTCAGAGGTGGGGTAATTACATCCTGTTGTGGAACCAATTATATGAATAAAATTTTCTTTGCTTGAAAAAAGTGGGGGAAAGTCTTCAACAGGCATTTTTCTTAAAAATATATACAACTGGCAAATGAAAAGATGCTCAAGATCACTGATATTTAGGGAAATGCAAATCGAAACCACAATGAGATACCACTTCCCACCCATTAGGATGGCCATTATCAGAATAACAGAAAACAACAAGCATTGGCAAGGATGTGGAGAAATTGGAACCCTTTACATTACTGGTGATAATTTAAAATGGTGCAGCAGGTCGGGCACGGTGGCTCATACCTGTAATGCCAGCACTTTGGGAGGCTGAGGCGGGCAGATCACCTGAGGTCCCAAGTTCAAGACTAGCGTGGCCAACATGGTGAAACCCCATCTCTACGAAAAATACAAAAATTAGCCAGGTGTGGTGGTGGCACATGTCTGTAATCCCAGCTACTCAAGAGGCCGATGCAAGAGAATCGCTTGAACCCGGGAGGCAGAGGTTGCAGTGAGCCAAGATGGTGCCACTGCACTCCACCCCGGGTGACAGAGTGAGATCCTGTCTCAAAACAGTCAATCAATCAATTGATGCAGCTGCTGTGGAAAACAGTATGGTACAGGGGGAAACAACCCACTGCCCACTGACAGAGGAATGGATGAACAAAATGTAGTATATGCATGCAATGGAATAGTATTCAACCTTAAAAAGGAAGGAAATTCTGCCACATGATACAACAAAGATGCACCTTGACAAAAACTAATGAAATATACCAGTCACTAAGGACAAGTATTTTATGATTCCACTTATATAAAGTACTCAGAATAGTAAAACTACATAGAACGCAGAACTGTGGTTACCAGGGGCTGGGGAAGGAGAGATTGGGGAGTTAGTGTTTCATGGGTACAGGGTTTCAATTGAGATGATGAAAAACTTCTGTGGATGGATGGTGGCAATGGCTGTGCAACAGTGTAAATATACTTAATGCCACTGAACTTTACACGGTAAATTTACGTTAAGTGTATTTTTTTAACTTTCTTTTTTTTTTTTTATGTAGAGACAGGGTCTTGCTCTGTCACCCAGGCTGGAGTGCAGTGGTGAAATCATAGCTCACTGCAACCTTGAATTCCTGGGCTTAAGCAATCCTCCCACCTCAGCCTCCCAAGTAGCTGAGACTACAGGTGTGCGACACCATGCCAAGCTACAGTTTTTTCTTTTTCTGGAGATGAGGGTCTCACTATGTTGTCCAGGCTGGTCTCAAACTCCTGGTCTCAAGAAATCTTCCAGCCTCAGCCTCCATAAGTGCTGGAATTGCATGTATGAGCCAGGCACACAGCCTGTTAAGTATATTTTAGCATAATTTTTTCTTTTGTTTTTTGAGGCAGAGTCTTGCTCAGTCACCCAGGCTGCAGTGCAATGGTGCCATATCAGCTCACTGAAACCTCCACCTCCCAGGCTCAAGCAATTCTCCTGCCTCAGCCTCTCGAGTAGCTGGGATTACAGACATGAGTCACCGTGCCTGGCCCCACAATTGTTTTAAATATATAATGGGGGCGGGGTGAGCAAACGATAGGACAAGAATGTGTAAATGTGTAAAATTTGGTCCCATGTTAAAGCAAGGGGAGAAACAGCTCTGATTTGGGGCGGTGAGCCTACCACAGCCTTCGAGGCTAAAGCCCTGAGATCATTTCCAGCAGCTGTCGGGACATGGTTTCAGCTGCAGAGCTGGGTGGGCAGGTAGAGGGCTGCCCCAGCTGCAGCCAGCGCTGAAGCCATGGGGAACCATGGCAGTGCAGTTGACAAGTCTTTCTGGCACAGAGCCTTGGTTAGCAGCAGTTGCCACCTGTAATGTGGTCTGGCCTGAGCAGGTGGCAAGGTCCCCGGGAGTGCTGGCACTGGGAGCCCTTTCTCCACGGCAGGCACTGTGCAAGGTGCTTCATGCACCAGTCTCATCGTCTCCTCTCCATAACCTGAAGGGGGAGCTGCTCCCTCTTTTCAGCACATGAAGCTGGTTGTCAGAGCTCACAGGTGTCTTCTGAGACACACATGTGGTACAGGGGCCTTCAGGAGGCTTCTTTTTTGTTTGTTTGTTTGTTTTAACAATGGGGTTTCACCATGATGGCCAGCCTGGTCTTGAAATGCTGACCTCAGGTGATCCACCCACCTCCACCTCCCAAAGTGCTAGGATTACAGGCGTGAGCCACCGCGCCCAGCTTGGGAGGCTTCTTTACCTCTGTCCCTACTGCCACACCTGGCCCAGGGAGAACATCTCTCCAGCCCCCAAGACGCACCCTGACAAGCCACCTGCTCTTCTGTAAAGTTGACGGATTTCCATTTTGCAGATTTTTAATGCCAGCCACCCATGCCAGGGATATGGGGACCCCAGCAGGAATAGGGTTTGTAAACTGACCACTGCGGCACTACAGATGTCATTTCTAACTGTGCTTTAACTCACTGTTTGGCCCCAAGGGTGGCTTTTTTTAGAAACAGAATTAATTGCCACCCTTACAATCATAATATGAAACGTAAGTCAGGAGTCCTCGATGGCTCTTACACCGGGGAGGTCTGAGCACATCAGCTCCCAAAGCACAGCAGAGCCTGTGGTTTTTTACTGGCACATCTGAGCCACTTTCTGTCAGCCCCACACTGAGGAGGAACAGCAGGGCCCTTGGGCACGATTTTACCTGGCTGGGGGCAGGTGACCATTACCTCTTTCCAGCACCCACTGGAATAGTAGGGGAATGCACATCCATCTCCAGGTCTGGCCTTCCTTATAAATGCAACACGTCACACCCCTGTCCCTGCACATATTTCCCCTGTCTCCCATACAGGGTTAGGCTTGGGCCATGCTGTCCCAGAAACCTTGCCAGTGCCAGAGGCCTAGAGCGGCGGTGGGGGGGCGGGCCTGAGCCTGCCAGGGAGTCCTCTAGAAGGAAGGATGCCCAGCTGGGCATTGGCAGGCATCAAGTGCCCCCCTGCAGGGTGGGCTGATGGGGTCCTGCCCCCTGTGTCTGCCTGTCTCTCTGCAGACCTGACCCCACACGGTCCTCACCTGCTGCCTCTGGAACTGCTGCAGGAACCCCACGATCTCCAGGTGACACATACAAGGAGAGATGCCTGAGGGGGTGGGGCCCGGCAGCGGGACAGGAGTCATGGAGAGGGAAACCAAGGCAGAAGCTCATGCCTTAGCCACTTGGGGCTGTGTGCCAGAGCCAGGTTCCTCTCAGTCTCCTGTCAGTGCCCTAGGCACAGGGCAGGCACACACCTCTGACCTCACCATTCCAGGCCTGGAATCAGTTCAGGTGTTCCCAGGGCCTTCATCTGATGAGTGAACTTAGCTTGCATGAATGACACTAAAACAACGGGGTATAGGGAGGACACAGCAGTGATGCATTTTTTCAGGGCCCCACTGTAGTCTTCATCCGCATGAATGTCATTTCCATCATCTGCACTTTTTCTCCTGCTGTTTTCCCTTCCTTGTGCCACACTGTTTCCTGTGTTACGACTGCGTGTTCAGAACCATCACCGCAGCGGCCACAGCCACTCCACCAGCGGGTCCGTGATCACCTCCTCATCTATTCTGCCTTTGTTCACCATCTCTGCTGCTCTAAAGTGTGTTCGCTGCTGGTATTTAATGCTGAAGCAATGGACTTTCTTTCTTTCCACAGCTTCTCCCCTTTATTTTCTTAGGATACATTTCCAAGGCTTTGATTAGGATGGAAGGACACTATAGAATATAAGGCTCTTGGCACACTGAGCCAAATCTTGGTACAATTAAAGGGACCCTGATGACACATACCACTTTTCCCCCAGTGGTGTGTGAGAAGCTGCCCTTGCGTGCCTGCCAGCACTGGACATTTAATTAAGTCCCATTCATTTCATGGGTAGGAAGCAGAACCCCACAGGAGCCACATGTGCACGTCTAGTTCGCGCACACCAAGCCACATGTCCCAACGAGGCAGACAGAGGGAGAAATGGAAAGGTCTCTCTACAGGGTACAGGCAGAGCGCTCCCCACCCCTGCTGAGCCCCTCATGCTGAGAGCCCATCTATGCAGCCCCCAAGACTCCCAGCCCCTTCATCACCTGTGCCATTCAGGCCATGTGCACAAAAACACAGATGGGAGACTTAGCAGGATTTAAAGACCTTCAAGGGATATTGTAGCAATAAACACTTGTCCCATCATCATTGCCTTTTTTTAAAAAGTGTGATAAAATACACATAAAGTGTATCATTTTAACCCTTTTTAAGTATACACTTCAGTGGCATTAAGTACCTTCATATCATGGTGGAATCGTCACCTCCATCCCTCTCCAGAAATCTTTTCTTCTTCCCGACGTGAGGCTCTGTGCCCACTAAACACTGACACACCGTTCTGGTGTCCCACAGCCCAGCCCCTGGAACTCACCTTTCCACTGTCTGCCTCTGCGAATGTGACACTAGGTACCTCCACAAGTGGAGTCATTCGGTGTTTGTCCCTTTGTGTCGGGGTTATTTCACTTAGCTTGATGTCCTCAGGTTCATCCGTGTTGCCGCAGTCTCAGGATCTCCTTCCTCTCTAAGGCTGGCTCCTTTCCCGCTCTGTGGAGAGGCCACGTTTTCTCCAGCCATTCATCAATGATGGACACTGGTCTGCTTCATCATTGGTTTTTAAAAATTATTTCTGTACATCCAAATAATAGAATACTGTGAGGTGATTTTTATAAAAGTGAATGAGGCAGCCCTGCCCTGCCATGGAAAGGTCCTCAAAATGCATTGTTAGTGAAAACAGCCCAGTGGGGGAGAGTGTGGACAATATGCTACCTTTTGGTGTAATCCAAACAGAAAAGGGGCTATGTATTTACATTTCCTTGTCCTTGTATAAAGAAGCTATAGAAAAACAAGGAAGTAATAAAAGCAGTCACTTATGGGTGGAGTGAGGGGCCCTCATTGCATGGCTGTTTTTGCATGCAAGGAACATGATGCTCCGATCACTCTACACACTCCCTGACCCCAACTCAGTCACTCCCCACTACCCCTCTAGGAGCCACTGCCTGGCCCCTGACACCTCAGCATATACTCCCATGATCACACCACGTTGCCCCAGCTCCACCGAGCCTCTGCACATGCCGGTCGCTCTGTCTGGCACATCTGTCTGTAGATTCCTTCCTGCCCTCAGCCCTCAATGCAGCCACCCCCGCCCAACTCATTCCAGGGAAGCTGGAGCTCCTGCTGGAGGGAGGAGGAGCTGGCTGTCCCTGGTGGGTGAAGGAGCAGCAGTGTCCTCTGTGCCCTCAGCTGTCCTCATGCAGAGGCCAGAGGCGGGCACCTGCCCTGTCTGAACAAACATGCCTGCAAGGAGGGGTGGGAATGGTGGAGGCACCCCCTTGGTGGCAGCAGCTCTGACCCCCCTTTCTCTTAGGGGGTCTCCCAGGACATCCACCACAGTGAGCATAGAGAGTAGTCATCCCCTTTCCCATACTGACATGCCTCCAATGGGGCAGTCTACACAGCTCTGCCTCCCCTACCAGCTCCCTGAAGTCGGGCTTTGTCCCCATTACCTGGAATGGAGCCAGGAGTCGCTCCATGCATACATACATGAATGGGTGAGCCTTGGCAACAGCAGGAGAAAGCTGAAGGCTGCAGCACAAGGATAAGCCCATTCATTGAGACCCACACCTGGACCCTGCTGGTGACACGATGGGTGGTTGGAAGTCAGAGGGCCACTGGTATGCCAGCCCCTCTCTGGGCATCCCTGTGGGTCATAATAGTTCAGCAACAACCACCACCCCTGGCTCCAGCATAAGTCAGTCACTCCAGCGCAGAGCTGGATCTGAACACTGGCCCCGCCTCCCATGTGCCCAGCACCTGGTCCCAGGCTAGGCCCCAGGTCCCCTGGGAGCCTCCTGGCTGTCTCTTAAAGTGGTACCCTCCTGGCCTCCTTCAGAAAGGCCCCTGCATGAGGCCGGGCGCGGTGGCTCAAGCCTGTAATCCCAGCACTTTGGGAGGCCGAGGCGGGTGGATCATGAGGTCAAGAGATCGAGACCATCCTGGTCAACAAGGTGAAACCTCGTCTCTACTAAAAATACAAAAATTAGCTGGGCATGATGGTGCATGCCTGTAGTCCCAGCTACTCGGGAGGCTGAGGCCGGAGAATTGCTTGAACCCAGGAGACGGAGGTTGCAGTGAGCCGAGATCGTGCCATTGCACTCCAGCCTGGGCAACAACAGCAAAACTCCGTCTCAAAAAAAAAAAAAAAAAAGAAAGGCCCCTGCATGGCACCTCCCACCATCCTGCAGAGGCTCCCAAAGCCACCTTCACCCCTGCCACTGGCTCGTCAAGAAAATTAGGCTGAGATCTCAGGCAGGCCCAACATTGCAGAATGAACAGTGCCAGGTGTCCAGCAGGAGACAGCAGACCTCCCAGGCTCACAGGTTTTCTGTCTTGTGGAATCGGGCTGAGCTGCCGGGCCTTGGGCAGGAGCCTGAGCAGCACGTACCCTGCAGCTGGCCCATCCCACAGCTGGCCTCCTCCCACTAAGCATCTGCAGCTTCCCATATGCCCACCTGCACAGCGGCCTCCCCCAGGACAGACAGGAGGTGGTTTTGTGAAATTTTCGTTTCATCGGCTGAGAATTGAACACTTACAGCGTTGCCAGAGAGGCAAAAATAAGCTGTGTCTGACACCATGGCCAGGACTGTCTGGGCTGCTGTCCACACCAATGCCTGGGTCCCTCCCATGCTGCAACCCAGTCCCAGCACCTCCCACACCCACATGCCCATAGGACAGCCCTCTGAAGGCAGTAAGGATGGACAGGTCACATGGTTCACATCACGTAGAGCCCAGAATGCCAGGTTAAGGAAGATAGCAGTTTTGACTGTACCTGAGAGAACTCCAACTTAAACAGGCACATATAATGGAGAAGTCCACTGAACAGCTTCAGGTACAGCAGGATTCGAGGCCTCCCGGCGCCGTGCTCAGGAATGAACCCACTTTCCTGGCCCCTCATGGTGCCACAATGGCCCCAGTAGTGTCAGCATACATTCCACCAGCTCAAGGACTCCAGGGGGAAAGAAAGCCTCCAAGTACCACAAAAGTTCTGGGATTGCAGTGGAGCACCCCCAGTTTGGATAGGACCAATCCCTGAACCAATCTTTGTGGCCAGAAATAGGGGGATTAGGCAGATTATCCAGGCTTGTGAAAAATAACCTTTGTGAAGGGGTGTGGGGGGGCAGAATCTAGAGGAGGTCTGCCCCTGAGTGGGGACCCCAGAGTAAAGAAGAGATGGGTTTTGCAGGAGAGTTGAGAGGCTGTTTGAGGAAGAAGAATGGAGGCTGTGCTATGAGGAAGGGGGTACATGGCAGCACTCCCAGAGTGACCACTGGATTCAAGCTGGCATGAAGTGGTGGTGGGGGGAGACTTTCCAGCCAGGAGCCTGGAACCAGCAGCTCCTACTCAGCTGCACCCCTCAACTCAGGTGTGCCCCCACTCAGGTCCCCATTGCTCCTTGCCATTGCAGGCAGGCATGCCACAGACGCTGAGTGCCTCCGACATGGTCACCCCAGGCAGCCTCAACCCACCCCCCACCGAGCCCACAGATGTCGAACAGGCTGGGCAGCCCCTCCTGGATGGAGCTCCATCCTCAGCCTCCCTGGAAACACTGATCCAGCATCTGGTGCCCACAGCCGACTACTACCCCGAGGTGGGTGACCCACCCAGTGGGCAGGAGAGTGGGTTCTCCTCCACCAGGCATGGGAGGCAACAGTGCTGGGAGTGGCCTTGGGCCAGGGTGTAGGGCCAGCTGGGAGGCATGCCCCTCCCAGTCCCCTCCTGAGCCTATGCCCTCTTGTTTGTGCCCCAGAAAGCCTACATCTTCACCTTCCTGCTAAGTTCTCGTCTCTTCATCGAGCCCCGGGAGCTCCTGGCCCGAGTCTGCCACCTGTGCATCGAACAGCAGCAGCTGGACAAGCCGGTGCTGGACAAGGTGAGGTGCAGGGCAGGCCAGGGAGCCTCAGAGTGTACCAGCACTCCCCTCCCATGCCCTCAAGTCATCAGCCTCTAGGGGAGGTAATGATTGTCCCTGTTTTCCTGACAAGGTGGCTACAGAGTATTTCCACCTTGTCTGAGGCCCAGAGCCAGAAGGAGCAGAACAGGACCTTTCACCTTCATGCAGTTTTTCCAGTGCCCTACAGGAGCCCTTGAGCTTACATTAGGCCCAGACTTGAGTATCCAGAGCCCGGTCAGTAGGACCCCTGCCATCTGTGGCCGGAAAGGACCTGCTGCCTCTGCTGGGTTTCCTTCCTCCAGCACATCCGCTCCATCTTCCCAGTCCTGGCCAGATCCTTAGGGTTGCATCTATTTCACACACATCGGTCGGGGTCTACAGCTAGCAAGAGAAACCCAACTTCAACCTGCCAAAACCAAAGGGACTTAGCTGGCTTGTATACCTGCCCGATCTCAGGGACTGCTGGTTCGGGCCGTAAACCACGGCATTGCACCGTGGCCTGTCTCCCTCCCACCCTCTGCTGCCATTTTCCCGGGCTGGTGCCCCTCGGGCTGGCTGGTGTGGTGCCCTGCCGCCTCCACTACAGCACGCTCACATACAACCCTTTCCACCCTTTCCAGTCACGCAGAAGCCTCAATCCCGTTTCTGTACAGATCCAGTGAGTCTCGCCATTGGCGTAGCCTCGGTCACGTGCCCATCTGTGGGCCAATCACTGTGCACGATGGAGTAAGCTGTGCTCTGATTGGTCAGCACAGACCTGGACCCACCCCTGGAGCAGGGGCCACTGCTCCTGAGGCCCCTGGGCACCGAGAGAGTCCCCAGGGAGGGTGGAGACATCACCGCAGAAGGGCAGCAGCAAGAGATAGCCCCGCCCAAAAATGTGTCCATCCTCTCTCCATTCCCCGTAGGCGCAGGGCAGTATTGCACCAGCCCCGCCCCCATCCCTGGCACAGAGAGGGCACATGGTTCTGCCTGCCCAGGCAGTCAGACCAGCAAGGACACGAAGTGAGGCCCACATGCCCGCCCAACACCCCTGACGAGCGTGGCGCCCCTCACTTGCTTGCAGGCCCGGGTCCGGAAGTTCGGCCCCAAACTTCTGCAGCTGTTGGCCGAGTGGACTGAGACCTTCCCAAGGGACTTCCAGGAGGAATCGACCATCGGGCACCTGAAGGACGTGGTGGGCCGCATCGCCCCCTGTGATGAGGTGGGCAGCCAGGCAGGGGTCTTGTCACCCTTTGGGCCCCTCCTGTCCCAGGCCTATGCCTGTTCCTGTCCCCTACCCCAGGGCTCTCATCTCCCCACCCTACACATCACGGCTCCTCTAAATCCAGCCCCTCTCTGACCCATCAAGGAATCAGGCACTGATGAACTGGGAGGGAATGTGGAGTCTCATGACCCCTCCCTGCCTGCTCTCACTGATGGCATCAGATGCTGGATGAAGAAAGACCCATTCATGGGTTAGTGGGGCCAGGAGGCCAGGCTGTTGGCCTCTGACCTACTAGATGGGACTGGCAGAGCACTGTCCTGGGCCTTGGCCATACCCACTTTGCTCTCCCAGCTGTATTACTCTGTGGAGAGCACTGAAGGGTCTCCAAGCCTCACTTCCCTTATGGGCGAAGGAAGCAAAAAAATCTTTATCTCCCAGGATTATGGAGGTAGATGTCTCCTGGTGTGTTTAGAAGGGGCAAGTTTATCAGCATCCTGGAATGCCACTGTGGGCAGCACTGGTGTAGCATTACCTGGAAGGGGGAAACATGGACAGGGGTGCATGTTGGTCACCCTGGAAGGAAACTGAACCAGCTGGTAGCTGGTGACATGCCACAGAATGGGTCTGGATATGGCAGAAGAGCTATGTGTGAGACAAGGGAAAACTGCCAAGACAGGCTGGGCAACAGGAACCCAAACACCCACGGCCACATAGACATAACTCAGGCTCTGTGGAAAGCACTGATCAGGGCCACTTCACACACCAGGCAAGTGACTCAGAACTAAGCAGGCAAGTTCTGAGGCTCAGTGAGATGAGAGTGTTTCCACTTCCTCCTCCCCACACTTCTCCCCTCCTCCATTCTCCTCCTCATCCCCTCCTCTTCCTCCTCTGAATCCCCTGATCCATCTTGAGATTGTGACACTTGGCTAAGGATGCAGCACAAAGCAGGGCCAGGGAACAGTTGACAATTGGATGAGTGGGGGATGGAGAGAGTGGAAGCAGGGGATAGGGTGCTGGATGATTGGCTGGGAAGACATTTGGCTACTCTTATAGATGAATGTGGGAGAGAACAGGTGATTTTGTTATTGGATAGGCAGGTGGATGGATGCATGGGGTGAGTGGAAAGATTAATAGAAAGAAGAGAGAAATGTAGGAAGTGTGGACAGGTGGGTGGGCAGATGGTTGAATAGATGGAGGGGAAGGTGGATGGGTGGGTGGGT